GCAGAGTTGTAACCGACGCGCTGGGCGTTGGCACTAACTCAAATGCTCAAGTGTTGCAGATGCTTGGATGCAAAGACAGTGCAATGCTCTTGCTTCTCGTGGGATAACTCAGTTTCTATATGTGATCAGTTTTACGTTTGTTCTCAAGGTGCCTTTCGGGTGAGCCTGGATAGTTTTGCTCAAATACCTACCGGAGGTTTGTTTTTACATGTTTTCACTCTCACCTCGCGCTGCGACTCTCGGTAGGCCCTGTCACTTGCCAGCCCCAATGGTTTCCGGAGGTCATTCAACCCCGGCAGAGTGTGGGAGGACGCCCTTCAGCCCGGGGAGAGCACGGAGGAGGTCCTTCAACCCGTGCACAGTGCGGAGGTCCTTCAAACCGTGCACAGTGAGGAGGTCCTTCAACCCGTGCAGAGCGAGAGGAGGCCCTTCATCCCGTGCAGAGCGAGAGGAGGTCCTTCAACCCCGGCAGAGTATGGGGAGGGAACCATTCAGCCCGTGCACAGTGGGAAGGAGGTCCTTCAACACGTGCATGGTGGGGAGGAGGTCCTTCAACCCGAGCAGAGCGAAAGGAGGTCCTTCAACCCGAGCAGAGCGAGAGGAGGTCCTTCAACCCGAGCAGAGCGAGAGGAGGTCCTTCAACCCCGGCAGAGTATGGGGGAGGGAACCCTTCAGCCCGTGCACAGTGGGGAGGAGGTCCTTCAACCCGAGCAGAGTATGGGAGGAGGTCCTTCAACCCGTATCTACACAGTGGGGAGAAAGACGTCCGATAGCCGGACTGAGTGGACAGGACAAGAAGTCGAATGGGCTGTTCATGATACCACTGTTTATCCATCTGGGCAGAATAAGTAGTAGAATCAGCTCTGTCGTCAAAGATGGTGATTTACATGCTGAGAGCGGGAACAGAAAAGAGTACAGTTTTGATACGGGATATGACTTAGCATGCTTTTCATAGTCTTATAATATGCTAAGTGCCATGTAATCATGTTATGGTAATCTGAAGCAAAGTTCCCAAGCAATGAATACGGAGCCCGTGCCCCGTTGCACGAACTGGAGACTATTATTGCCAATGCAAAAAGGGAGCGGTTGAGTGGTTGTAAATTTAGTTATTCCGGTGACACATATGCGTCACCACATGCTATTTCAGCTCGACTCCACGTGTAAAAATTTGTCACGTGATCTCGCGCTGTCTGGTGTGTGACTTTCCCGACCGGTCCCGTCACGACTCCGGCGTCTGTGGCCTGTGCCGGTGCCACGGTCAGCACTAGCACGGCGCGACCGACGCGACCACGCCCACCCCAGCTGCTGCCGTGCACCCAGCTCCACGGATAATGTATTGACAGCACACGATTCAATTGTTTTGTCCTATTGAGACCTTGGGCTTCGCCGAATGTAGGACTTTGTCGTGGTGCACGATATTGTTTTTATTATAAGCAAGATTATATTGCATGCCTCGAAGATTTGGACTGAGGACAAAGGTAGGTAGCGCAAATGGCAATTGTACGTCACTCAATGTACGTAGGATAAAAGAAAGCATCACAAATGCTCGTTATGGCATAAGGTTAAGGTACGTAGATACAAAACCATCGGTCAGATTTGATTAGGTTAGGCTGGGTTAGGATTGGAATGGTTAGGCTAGGCTGGGTCATACAGAGGTCTAGTTTATATTGGTTTCTAATGATACCCACGTTTATATTACAATTTGGTCCTTACGCACATTTGCGTACGTACTAGTGCCCTACGTACTTAAACGATACGTGCCTATGTGCTTTAGTCCGCGAATCGTAAGATGACTGATCACTGATCAGGGGTTACGGACAAAAGTACGTATCGCTAAAGTACGTAGGACAAAAGTACGTAAGCAAAAGTACGTAGGATTAAAGTACGTATCGCAGAAGTACGTACAGTATAAAGTACGTATGGACAAAAGTACGTCAGGGACAAAAGTACGTATCGCAGAAGTACGTACAATATAAAGTACGTATGGACAAAAGTACGTCAAGGACAAAAGTACGTATCGCAGAAGTACGTACAGTATAAAGTACGTATGGAAAAAAGTACGTCAGGGACAAAAGAACGTATCGCAGAAGTACGTACTGTATAAAGTACGTATGGACAAAAGTACGTCAGGGACAAAAGTACGTATCGCAGAAGTACGTAGGGTATAAAGTACGTATGGACAAAAGTACGTCACGGACAAAAGTACGTATAGCTAATGTTCGTAGGGTAAAAAGTACGTATGGACAAAAGTACGTCACGGACAAAAGTACGTATCGCAGAAGTACGTAGGGTATAAAGTACGTATGGACAAAAGTACGTCACGTACAAAAGCCTACGTATAGCAAATGTACGTAGGGTATAAAGTAGGGTAGCCTTGGGCAAGACGCCCCAGATAATTTATTTTGCTACATAGGTACCTACTTTTATCTCACATCACCTGGAAGGCCACATTTGTGCTCAATGTGTTCTTTGGACATTTTACTTTAAATTCAACCCTCAAATTCATTCACTTATGATCGGACTCCCAGTTAGGAATTGCTTTGTGAAGCAACTGCAAATGGGGCATTTTGCCCCAACCCCAGCCCCCAGGGCAAAACGCCCCACGGCCTGAGCCGAGGCAAGAAGCCCCATACACTAGATTAACCCTCGCGGGCCCGGGGGGCGTTTTTCGCCCCCCCCCCCCCCCCCTCCTGGCGAATATTTGCGATAGCTCCCGAACGCTTAGGGATAGGAAAGCAAAACTTTCAGTACCTTTTTTCCCATCAATTTGACATCTTCTGAAGTAAAAAATTTGGACCTAGCCCCATTAATGACGTCACAAAGTCGATTTTTCTATACCCCTGCACGGCAAACTTCGGTGTCACAGACGCGAACTTCAAATAGCTGCTAAAATAGAGTTTTAAAGATAAAGACAAATTACGAGCACGGTTGTGTAGCATTTGACCTAGACAAAAATACAAAAATAGTTTTAGTGACCTGAGATTAGAGGTCAGGTCAACGACCCCGAGCTGTGGTTTTAGTTTTTCGCAAATAACTTCGACAAAAATGGTCCTAGAGCTACGGTAGTGGTACCATCGCATTTGTCTTGTCAAGCCGTGTCGAATGATACATATTTTGTTTTGTTTGGAAAAGGGCAAGTTTTATGTTGACCTCATGTTACCTCGAATGACTTTTGGTTGACCTTGACACATCAAAAGTCGTTTATGATGGATTCATACCCGCTGATCACGAATCTGGCATCTATTTTCCTCTAAGCCTTTATTTAGAGCCTCCAGATGGCAAAATTGTCTGATTTATTATTACTAACTTGAATCAGTGAAAAAGCCTCTAGCAAGGACTCTTTTCTGTGACCATGACCTTTGAGCAGCCTTGTATCGTAAGATGAACCACAAATAGGGACCTGATAAGCCTCAAAACATTTCAAAACATCTTGGAAGTTGACACACAAGATGTACGAAAAAGTGTAAGTTTGAGGTCAATTTTGAGCATGACCTTGACCTTGACCTTTGATGTTGAGCACATTGTCGGAATTCTCAGATTCTCTTCTTTCGTTTGACACCCAATTTTACCGGTTTTATGCATCCTGCCGTCCTCTAGAACGCTCACTTTGAGATCACTACACATGTGCCGGTTTTTGCCTTTGACCTTGACCTCTGACCTTGAAAATTGACCTGAGGTCAAAAATTTTGGGTGCTTTAGAAGCGTCTCGTAAGGACCTTTTGTTTGGTATCGCTTTTGTTTGCGTAGCTCTCTTATTTACGGAGTTAGACGGGGGGGGTGAAAAACGCCCCTCCCCGGGCTGCGGTGGTTGGAATTACCCCCGGGCCCGGCCGGATTAACAGAAGAGAGGATCTTTCCCCAGAACCCTGTCAGTTCCGAGAAACATCGGTGAGGTGTTATACCTCGGCGGGGCGACTTGCCCCGGTCTACCCTACGTGTGGACAAAAGTACGTCACGGACAAAAGTACGTATAGCAAATGTACGTAGGGTATTAAGTATTTACGTACCCCACCCTTGGGTTAAGTTGATCAATGTGTAATTCCTTTCTTATTCTTTATTTAATGAGCATTTGTTACAAGGCATAGCAAAATTTATCGATGAGTAAATGGGCGAAATGGACAAAGTATATTATTTGGTATATGAATTTATCATGAGTTCCCTGTAGTATGGCAACAGAGCAGCAATAAAGAAAAGTGGCTCAACTTACACTACTATACCCTACTTCTAGCATACGTACTTTATACAATACGTACTTTGACATACGAACCGTACGTACTGGCATACGTACTTTTTACACTACGTACTTTTGCATACGAACTTTTGCGTACGAACATTTGCGTACGTACTTTTGGTATACGTACTTTATACACTACGTACTTTTGCATACGTACTTTTGCGTACGAACATTTGCGTACGTACTTTTGGCATACGTACTTTATACACTACGTACTTTTGCATGCGAACTTTTGCGTACGAACATTTGCGTACGTACTTTTGCCATACGTACATTTTACACTACGTACTTATGCATACGTACTTTTGCGTACGAACATTTGCGTACGTACTTTTGGCATACGTACTTTATGCACTTCGTACTTTTTCATACGTACTTTTGCGTACGAACAATTGCGTACGTACTTTTGACATACGTACTTTATGCACTACGTACTTTTGCATACGTACTTTTGCGTACGAACATTTGCGTACGTACTTTTTGCATACGAACTTTATCGCCTACGTATATTTGGGTACGAACATTTGCATGCGTACTTTTGTCCTACGTACTTTAGCGATACGTACTTTAGTCCTAAAATCACTGATCAGCCACTGGTCGCAGGTGGCGCTGTATCCACAACTTATCCTAGATGTCGCTTTCTAGGCTTACACGCTGGGTGGGCATCGCGAGATCGTATGGCAAAAAAGTGCATCTTTTGCTGTTGCATCAAAGTTTACGACTCAAATTTCCTTACGAAACAAAAATACCATCTCAAAAATGTCACTGTCTCCCAGCCTATTATATTCGCAAGCTCAGAAAATATCTAACAGGCATCTATAACTCTTCAGGGCAACTAGATCCATTCCATACGCAATACGCAGAGAACTACAGATGAGGCATTCAGCAGGACTCGCGAGACGACACATTATCTATGAATGTTCATGGGCACACGGACATAATCTAAATGACAAATATTGTCACCTGGATTCCGCCCCCTCCCACGCTTCCAGCGCCTCCAACAGAACCTTCATGTCGCCCCGGTGTTTCATGAGGAAGGCTCCATTGAGATGAAACACGGGGATGTCGTAGCGGTAGAGTTTGTACCAGCGTCGGTTCTCCGGCAGCGTGATGTCCACCTTCCGCAGCGTCACCTGAAACGGTGTTACCGGGTGTTATGTTACCGCAGTCAGCTGGGGTCGGGCGCCACAGATAACACCCTCGACTGCACCCGCCCGCGACACCCTGCCGACGCCGTTCTCACAACCCGGCGTCACAATCCCGCGAGTCGGCAGGAAAACAATGTTCTACACAGCTGCGCCGGGTCAGCAGACATGTTTTGAGGTCACCAATCACTAATCAGCCATGAGTGTTTGTTCGGTGTTCAATTTTCCCGTGATTGGATCACGATACCCGTGAGAAGTGGACACACCCAATGCAGCGGGGCTGGGGGAGTGGGTGTCACCCGGCATTGACCTGCCCCTCGCCGGCCAGGCGGCCACACCTACCCGGTGCAGTGCCGGCGACAGTGCCTCCAGGGCATCGTCACACAGAGGGCACGGCGTCTTGGTGTAGAGGGTGAGCTCCGGCAGCCGTTTTCCCGGTGGGCTCTGACAGCTGTCAACAAAAAAGAGGGACTGTTTCAGAGCGGTTTATATAGCCTTGGTTCAGAGCATAGGTACAATCCAAACAGGTTATGAGAGGGGAAGGAAAAGAAAGGGAGGGGAGATGAGAGGAGAGACAGGGAAGCATAAAAAACGGCAATTTGCAACTTCCAGGATAAAATGGTGAAGGGTGAGGATAAAAGATCTACTGCTCAGAATCCATAAAGGCTGCATCAAAAGCCACTGAACTTGAAGAGCAAAATAAAATAAATTCCAGCTTCCAAATAAGTGAATTGCTCCCATTAGCAATACATACAACAAAGTAGGTGTCTTATCAAAGCTTAGGTAGGTACACGTACCTATTGTAATTATACAGATAGGTACTTACAAACGTCTACGAAGAGATGTCGAGCTTGGTTGAATTCGAATATTGCCGGAGCTTCTGCTCCCTAAGCTCCCAACTGCCCGAAAGAACTTCAGGGAAACATTACACACAACCATTCTCAAAAATAAGATAAAGAGGGGGGCAGCCCATTTGTTGTCTACTCTTTAGTTATTTACTAAAAGCTGCTTATAGGGGAGCTCAAGGGGAGCTTATGTCGATATGGGTGTTCAAAAGTCTAATAGCCATGGAGTGCATTGGCCATCACCAGGTAACCTGCAGAAGTTGTTCAAATTCGCAGCAAGTTGCTAGGCAACGCTCGACTTTTCCAATCGCGAGCTGCAAAAACTATACAATTAAACATATTCGTTTGTAATACATTTATGGTGTGATTGCTTCATATGTGGCATACACGCAGGGTATATTGAGTGAAGCATACACGGTTCCAAGGCCGTGTATATTAGGCACGGTTCGTGATTTTGGTTTTGGACATTTTGGATTTGGAGTTGTATAGGTATTTAGGGTATGTACCATTGAAAGTTGTTAATATTTTTATATTTGGCTGCACATCAAGTATATTACAATTTACAGCACTGAGCACTGATCGTGAATTTAATGTGCGAGATATGTGGCTCAGGTATCATAGGCGGCGGAACGGGGGGGGGGGCACCGTCGCACCGAGCCCATCTGATTTTTTTTTATTTTGGCATTTTAACATTATCCCTATGGGTGTTGCATGAAAAGGATGGGACCAAAAGCCTGGGTCGTTCCAGACAAATGTCTCCCCTTAATTCCTATCATCCTTGCGGCTCTGAAATGGTCTTAGACGGAATGAGCCTAGCCCAACAAAACAAAAACAGACTCGACAATCACTTTCTCTCACATCTTCCTCAGGACGTACAAATCCTGCTCCTCTGCACCTCAAACCCATTAACTGAAGGTGTTCCGCCTCCACGGTTAGGCATTTATTTGTTTTGGAAAGCAGTTGAATATTGTTTTTCAGTTCATAATTATTACTGATTCTAGGTACCTACTTAAGCTGCTATTGCTTTTTTGCTGGTGAAAAAATCATTTTGTATCCAATGCCTTTGCAACATACCCTAACACTCCAAGCATTATATAACCTTAAAGGGACTATCCCACCTTCTAAAATGTTGTTAAAACCAATTAAATTGTGCCCGACTTTATAGATTGGATGACCAGGAACACGGTTCTGGCATTTGTTTTTCATTAAACATCTTAGGCTTCCCATATTCCAAACACAAACTTTCAAATATGTGACGTCACAGCCCAAAATTACCTCCTTCCCCAGGCCACATTACTGTCATAAAGCTGATTCCTTTTACTCTGTAGGCACCACAACAAAGTTCAGACCAAGTTTTAAGCGATTTTTCAACGAACAAACCCATTTAAATCAGAATGACTAAACGAGGTGACGTCACACTAACGGTCGTTCCATGTTGAAGATAGGGCCTTGTACAAGGCCCATTTTCAAATGAAGGGAACGAATTTCTTCAACACCAAGAGGCCGCGGGGGTTGCAACCAAGATAGATAGTGGTTTCTGAACCTCGCCGCAAACTTGGCTATCTCAACTCAAATCCCATGTTAAAGGTGGGATAGTCCCTTTAAAATCATGATCTCACCTTAAAATCATGATCTCGACAAGTCTTAAAAATGTGCAGCAGTCATCAAGCAGGCACCAATGTTTTTTCATGGAAATTGATTTTGAATAATGTCATATTCAGCTGGTTTTTATCATATCAGATGCATACTTCTAAATGTTTGCTACCAATGCCATTTATGTTCTTGTGGTTCTGAATTCCAAACTCCAAACCCATATCAAGGAGGTACTATGAAGGTAGTGCTTGGAATGGGTAGTGCCTCAGATAGCCTCTAACTATGCATTAAATGTAACAGTGTTTAAGATGCTATGGTAAAGGATAATGTATCTCGTTTCTCTCCACTTTTCAGCTAAGCTGGACACAACAAACATCATTTTGCTAGATGCATTGAACAGAAGCCAAACACTGAAGCTGAAGTGGCACTGGCAGCTGGAATGATGTATCATTTCAGCTCTGGCGAGGTGCCTCAGTCTGTCATTGATGGTGTCACTCAGCTAGCATTATTACCACAGCCATCCATCACTCACATAGCTGAGAACATTCTGAAATATCTAACTGGCGTGGGAGGAGTCAACAAGGAGGCTATGGCAGAGGCTGTCTCAGAGTTCTCAGCTACTGCAGGCATTGATATTGGGCAGGCCCAGGGTCTTGTCAAGATACTGCTCAACATCTTGAAGGCATCATATCGAGGAGGCCTTACCTCAGTCCAAGTAGCAGAGGACTTCCAGAAACTAACGGGATCAACAGAGACCACGAAGTCCATCACTAGCCTGTGGTCTACGTACGTCCACAAATCAGACACATCTGTTGATGCAGCCAAATCAAGCGCAGATATACTTCCCGCAGCCACACCAGCCAGCACTGCCAGCACGAAGCCTGCCCCGGCGGCTGTGGCAGCAGAGGCCGGTCCGGCGCCGGCGGACGGGGCCGATCCGCCGGCCGAGGCCCCGCTCACCGGCCTGGACGACCTGCTGGAGACGGGCGGCGTGCGCTGCTTCGACGAGCTCGAGGACATCCAGTGGAGGTTCGGCGTGACGGCGGCCAGCAGTGAGCCGGCGCGCGTCGGCCGCACGTTCGTCCGGCTGGCGCTGCACGTGCTGGCGCCGGACGGAGCGCGCCGCGTGCGCCACGTGCAGCTGGGCGTCAGCCAGTTCTACTCGCTGCTGCACCAGCTGGAGAAGGCGCGGGCCATGGCCAGGTTCATGTGAACTGTGAAACTAGCGTACACGTGAACTGCAGTGTGATAGGACATTCCAAACACCGACACCGTCGGGACTCGCCAAGTTGTCGGTAGCGAGCTGGGAGAAAGTCGGCAGGGCGCCGCGATTCAGTCACTCGTGTGCTAAGAGTCCAGCGACATGTGCCTAGTTCTGAGGTGGTCGGCAGGCGGTGTGGCCAGTGACGGCGCTGGGGTGGCTGGTGACCGGTATCCACAGAGTATTCGGAAAGGACGGGAAAATCGGCGGCGAGATGACACTCCCAATGGCGAGTTTTTGTACCAGTGTATGTCGCATTGCTCATTGCTTAGGGTTGTAGGAGTGCCATTATACATTTATATTTGTTATTCTCGATTGATGTACTCGTTATGGACTTTGTTGGCGAGTTGTTGGTGCGAGGTGAGGAGTTCGATTGCCATTTGAACATCCCGTGTAGTCGGTGAATGCGTAACCCCGCACGCAACACGCTGTGATTCACGTGACTGCATGGTACGCCAGCCAATCACCAATAAGTGATAGTATACGATGGTGTGTTACAACAAAGCATGTATTTACTCGCAATATACAGCTGATTGCCAAACGGGACCAGTGTAAGCACCGAGTATCTGATAAACAACACAAATGTTACAAAGTACCTATCCCCTCATCCCCCAAATAAAAAACGACCACTGCAGGCTAGGCAACTCAGCGATCCTGGTCCCGACACCCCTCCACCAGTGGGACGGGCCGTCTCTCCCCCCCCCCCCCGCCACCAACTCCCCCTTCAACCGTCGCCCTCGGCGCCGGCCGGCTCCTGTAGACTGAGCGCGGCCGTCCGGTCCACGTCTGAGGCGGAGAGCGAGACGGCGGCGTCCGGCGTGGTCGGACAGTCGCCGCCAGGTTTTGCCAGCTGGTCTGTGCGCTTCTTCTCCACTGCGTCCTGGTACGGCGGGTTGATGGGCGGCTGGTTCGGGGGACGATACTCGTACTCGGCGCCCTCGCTCAGCTGCCGGGGTAGAGAGTGAAGGACATCAGAGAGAAGGCACATACAACAGTGACCCGGGAACACAATGAGGGGGCCAGGGGAGGGCATTTATCCCATTGCCGGAGGAGTCAGTGAGGACACTCAGGGGACGGCCGGATGTCGGACTCGCACCAGAGGACTGTCAGATATAGAGTGTCTGACGGATTCAGCTTCCGTCGAAACAACTAGGAATTGCCTGACGGTCGCGGAGTGCAGTAATTTGCTGAGTTGGCAGTATAGAACAAACGGACAAACTGGGGCTAGCTGTCTCATGGAAAGCATGGTGTACGTACTCAACTGAATAATAATATTGGATTTTACGCTGCATCAAATTGGCTGAAAAGACCGAAGCAACTCTGCAAAGCTCAAACAATTTCTGACCTCCCACGTAAAGAAGTCGGCGTCACCCCTATCAACTCTCAGATGGGCAGAAGTCGGCTGGTCCAGCCCCTCCCCTCCTCACCCCCGACGACTGACCTGCAGGGGGTAGGTGAGATCGGCGTCGTAGCCGGAGAGGTCGCCGCACGCCAGGAACGGCACCAGCACCCGGTTGGGGCCGCTCAGCTGGTCCAGATCCGAGTACTGGTGGTCCAGCAGCGGGTTGGTCATGTTGGGAACGTACCCCTCCGGCGGCCGGTAGTCCTCGCACACCACAAACGACTCTGTCGAAGGAGGAGAGACAGACATGCAGTCAGACACGGCCGGCAGTCCTCGCACACCACAAACGACTCTGTCGGAGGGACGGAGATATCAAGTCAGACACGGATGTCAAGCCAGCCGGCGTGAATGTTCGGAGGCTACGTGCCGACGAGGCTCATCATGAGGCAAATTATATACTACATTGCGAAATCGGCTACCTGAACAGCAGCCAGCAGCCAGCAGCCAGGGATTGACAATATGGTGAGAGGAGAACTGAGAATGATGTTTATACTAGACATCGCAGTCGCGTACAAACTGGCCGAGATGGCGCTGAAATCGACTGAAGGGGGCGGCCAGTCGATCGGGGAATCAGCAGATATGGTGACAAAACGCGAAAGAGGGGCGGTAGGTACTGGAAGAAAAGAGGGAGAGGGAGATAAACGAAGAAGAACTGAGAAAGCTAGAGAGCATTAGATAGCGTGAGAGAGATAGGGCGACAGACGGACGTCGGAGACGGAAACAGAGTCGCGGTGCGTTTACTGACCGATGCTGGAGTTCCGGCTGCTGCGCGGCTTGGCCACGGTGACGCGGCTGAAGAACACCTTCAGCTGCGAGTACAGCAGCGTCACGTCCTTGCCGCGGAAGATCTTGGCCACGAATGTGCCGCCCGGCGCCAGCACGTGCGTCGTGATGTTGAGCGCCGCCAGCAGCAGCTGGGCCTGTCAGAACAAACGGTGACAGTCAGATGGACGGGAATGATGTAGACTCACTCGGAACCTACGTCTCGTGTCTGCGGCATCCCTGTGGCCGAAACCCATCCACCTACTTCCTAATCGAACAAGATTAACCTAACCCCACAACATATTCTTATAAGGAATCTTGTGAATACCTTTTCCACTTTAACCTTATTTGACTGTGTCCCAGCTCACGCCAAAGTCTCCGCTGTACCACAGCTGTTCTCCAGGTCGGCCTGCCCCGCCGCCCTCCCACGCACCTGGATGTACTCGTCCAGATCGTGCAGTCCGGTAACGTCCGGCGCGCCGTCACAGACCACCAGCTGCGCCTGCTGGCCGCTGAACTCGGAGATAATCTGCTCGGCCGTCGAGCGCTTGGTGATGTCGCCCTGGATCTGAATGACGCCCGGCAGCGGCGCCATCGCCTGCAGGTCCACGGCCACGATCTTGACGTCGCCGCCGGCGGTGCCGTCCTTCCTGTGCGTGGCGGAAGGGGAGGGTCGGTCTCAAACGGTACACTCGCCAAGCCAGGCATCTGAATTATAAAAGGGCTACAGAGTCTGAGTCAGAATCCATTTTGTAAAGTAGGACTCACAATCACCAAAAACCTGTGAAGTCTGCATCCCTAATACATAATGGGATAACATGACTGTGTTTCATCACAGCTGGGTGATTACACAATGCACACACTTGATACTTGGTGACAATCAAGATTCAAGTGTCACATAGGTATCCAACAAACTCAAAATGATTGCATTGTGATCACCAGACTTACGTCAGTTTCCTGGAAAGGACCTGACTCCAGCTGCCAGGCGCAGCACACAAATCCACTACTCTGGTCACATCTGTAACACAAATTCATTGTACACTCACTGAATGCTTATTGCTATATGTCACAGTACTCACATACACAAATAAATATGACTTGAATCATTGAATAAGGTTTCTGGTGGTGCAATGAGTTTTAACCTGATCAGTGGAAAACAGTTACAATAGAGTTGGAGCAGTCACTGAAAACATTTAGCTTATCTGAAGTAATTTCATGCACACACTGGCCTGGCCTGAATTTTGCATGATAAAATGTAATGGTATGGCAGCTTGATTAATATGTTATGCTATGGTAGCATATATTAGTACCTTTGAAAATGTCAAATTCTTCATCAATCTGCAGAAGTTTAAATGCACTTCTTGCCCTCCATCCTTCTTCCTTTGCCAATCTGTAATAAATATCTCTTTTGTCCTTTGATGAGCGTCCCATCTTAAGAAATCCTGTAAATATCAGAATAGAAATAGAATATGACACATCACATCGTGCATTTCACTACATTGCTCAAACATAGCACTTTTCATGGTCCAATCTGCTGCTAACTTGGGCCCTGTTTCACCGGTGATAGCAGCACGCCACTATCAAATTGCGCGAGCTGACGTAATGTGATGACGTCATACTGCTGACGTAAGGGGCAATTCTGGCGCACGATTGCCGCAATATTGTTTTATGTCATCAACTAAATGTTCGAAGTTTACGTCCAAATTTTCCTTAAACCTAACTTCTTTTAAATACATCATATTTAGAAAAATATATAATAAAAATAAATATACTATAATGACTGCGTAAACTCTTACTATTAGTCTCATACGTCACTTAATGCCGCGGCCAAGGTCGCGGCCATCGTGCGCCGGAACTGCCCATAATGTCAGCAGTATGGCGTCATGACATGACGTCAGCTCGCGAAACCTGATAGCAGCGTGCTGCTATCAGGTTTCGCGCTATCGGTGATAGCAGCGTGCTGCTATCACCGGTGAAACAGGGCCCTGGTAGGTACCTAGAACAACAGATTATGAATGCCAACTCCAGCAGATTGTAGTGACAGCGTGAATTCCGTGGAATCAGGAGAGTTTAATTACATCTAAGAGATGTAAGTGTCAAGTGATTACAGACATCAAACAAATTAAAAATATTTATAAGGCATCACATGAGGGAAAAAAACATTATAACTGGACAAAAAAAAAAATTGGCATGAATTTTGGAATGAATCCAATATTTTTTTAGTAAACCTAGAGATTGGGTCAAACTTTAGCTATTGTGTGTTAGGTTAGGTAAGGATAGGTAGGTAGGTAGGTAGGTTAGGTCATGCTAGCCTATGCCATGTTTATCCCATTCACTCTGGTTCAAAATATAAATTGTAGATGACAATTTGGCCTGGAATCACCAGACACATCAACCCTGGTCCCTGGCTTAAAATTGTCTTGATGAACATCAGCTTACAGCTAAGTATTAAAACAAAAATCACAACTAAGAAATTACAACTACAGCTACCTTTTGCACCCTATAAGAACAAGAGAAAATCACAAAATAAAAACATGAAAGGATTTAAGGAAATAACATGTCTTTCTAAGTTTAAAAACTGATACCACACATTGCTACTTACAATATTTGTTTATAAAAAAAACATCTATGCTTCAGTTCTCACTCAATTTTCAATTCTCAATTGAATTACCTGTCACTGTTGAGTCCAGAGTCCAGTAAGCTCAAGTTAAGTTAGTTATCAAGGCCATCACAGGTCAGGCTAGATTAGGTTTTGGCATTTCTGCTTGTAGCGTAGATAGGTACCAGTTTTTATTAGTAAATGATTGTATCAACATCTTCAGAATGTGACATGCGTCATGACATCCTGAAGATAGGCTAAGCCGAAAAATATTGATATAAATTAATGATTTTGTTTATTATGCAATATCAACTAAAATGTGCAAAGAATGATCATAAGGTTATTATTACGCAGGTTCTCTTTACTTACAAAAGTCTGGTTTTCATTTTTTTTTTAAATTGAGCACAGACCAGGGGCCAGGGCCAGGGCATCAAAAGCGACTTTCTTGATCGGCCAAGACAGACTCATGAAACTTGAAATCGACTTAGAAAATTTGATGACATGATCTGATACCGTGGGATGGAAGATGTGATGTGAATGTTAAAATGTGTCGATGTGAATATTAAAAGGCAAATACCACGGCCTGCAATTTTCATATAAATGCATGTCAATATACAGTTATTCCCATACACAAGGCCATCTATAGCCCATACATGGTGCTGTTCGGGACCAATCTTGTAAGGATTGATTTCCTGGAGGTAGCGACAAATTGCCTAGCAACAACCAAAGTTGCCTGGCAATATGGGTGCGTTGGCTAAACGATTCAGTTATTGAACAGGTATAGTAATGCAACAAACGCGTCATAAATGAAATTTATCGAAATAAGAAACATGTGTTCGAAAATTTTGTTTCTCCTTCGGCAATTAGTAGTTGCCTAGCAACAGCAGCGTTGTTTGCACTATGGCAGCCAATTGCTAGGCAACAAGCATTGTTACTGGTGGGGTGATCAGGTTCTGCACTCAGCAACTAATGGCGACTGGCCTGCAAAGTTTGACGCCTATCAAGTAAATTGATGTAGACGCCTACACTTGGCCTACACCACTGCTTGCCTACACTTGTGGTAAACGCCTATCTCCGGCCGCCGCTGATCCAGATCGCCGCTGATTATCGCAAGCTGATCGCAAGCAGGGTATATTGACTTACATCGCAAGGCCGTCGCAGTCGAGCACAAGTCGAGCCATTGTCGAGCTCAAGCTGGACCCTTGGCTGGACTTGGCTGGACCGTTCGGCGTGGCATTTTAACCAAGGCGGTACATAAATTGTAGCATTGAGAAATGTCAGTTTCAGTTTTAAAAGAGTGCAATAGAGGGAAATGACCAGGTGGTGTTTATTTGTACAGTATGGACAAAAACTGGGGCGACGGTTCAGTTTGTTTCCCTCAGTAAAAATTATGAAATCAAAGAAAGTGAAAACCAGTAAAACGACTTTTGGGCGAAGAACGAGCGAGCGAGATAGTGAGCCCTGCAGGTGCGGAAGGGCGAGAGGGTACTTCCAACAGGCTTGTGCAAAGCGCCCTTCTAACCGCTCGCTAGCGGTGTGCCAAATTTGAATGCAATTGGCCCAGCCGTTCGGCGTTCCTGAGATCTGGAGGTGGCATTCTGCACGTGCGCACGTGCAAACGGGGTCCAAACTTACTTTTGCACAGCACTCTACTAACTGGTCCCCAACCGTGTACCAAATTTGAGCGCAATCGGCCCAGCCGTTTTCGAGATCTGGGAGTGCCCCCTGCACGTGTGCACGTGCAGTAGCACCCTAACCGCCACACATGGGATTGCATTGCCTGGTGGGTGCCTACCTGTATGTCAAGTTTCAGCGAAATCGCCCCAGTAATTACAGTTATTGAAATGGGAGCAAAATTGGCACCTCTTCTTTTTGCATTTTGCACGTGCAGTGGGGGTCAGGTCAGTCTGGTCACATAGATCAAGAGTATCTGACCTTTGGTAGAAGGGGTGCAGCCACCCTAAAAAAATTACCGCAAGACAATCGCCCAAGCGGCTGCTGAGATATGGGCCTCTCAAAATCATTACTTTTGCAAAACAGCTTGAACACCCTTGACTTTTCACGTGGCACGACGGTCACTGAGATGTATCAAAAGTAGTCAATTACGGGGTAGAAGGGATTACCCAGGAAAATTACCCAGGAAAAAGATCGCAGGCCAATCGGTCCAGCGGTTGCTGAGGTATAAGCCTCTCAAAAGCGTTACAGGCCGGGCCGGGCCGCTCATACTGAGATTTTTCCGTTATATTGAAAAGACTCGCTGCGCTCGCTCGCTCATAATAAATAAATTGTCATCAAACTCAAATAATGTCTGTTTATGAACTTTGCTCTGTTAGCGAGTCCAGAGTATATAGAACATCGACATATTAGCCAGGCATATCTATCATCTAAGGGGGGCTTTTAGGGCAAATGTCCGCCTCACAGTTGGTTCTCTGAATCTGCCCATGGATGACCTGCACCAGCAATGATGGCCAATTTGCACTAGCCTATACCAACCATGCTGAAAATATATTCCAGCTCATAGCAAGGCCTATAAGTTTAAGCCTTGTAACATCATAAATTATGATTTAATTAAGTGCTAGCAAACATAACAATTCCATTTGGTAGCTACCTAATGTTTGATTATTTTGATCTATGGTGACATATCACTGCATCCCATTGCATTGAAAGCAGGTCCAGGGTCTGCTTTCAATTCATTTTTATATGTATTTGATTGGATTATGTAATTCACTGAATAAACACTTTCTTTTCAGGCTCTGTCTGAAAGTGATACAGCAGGAATACTCTCTGAGTTTGTAGTCATGGTGACTGTGGAGATATATGAGTTTGTAAGACTATTCTTTGAGGTAAGTACATTTTGTCATGCTTTGAAGACTTGGCTGAAAAAGGCTGTAATCAATGGCATATGCTTGTGAAGGCACGATGCATAACAATCAAGTTTTTTATGTCCAACAGTGGTAGCTATCTAACCATTATTAGATTGTTACTGAAGGTGCTGTATTCCTAAATACATCTTTTGGGAAAACTCAGTGACAAAAAGATCATTAATATCAGATTTCATGCTGTCGTCCTTTTTTATCCTTATTTCTGTGAAAATTTGGCCTCAGGTCAAGATCATGACCTGACTGGGAAAGGTCGTGCTGCATATGAGTCGATCCGTATCATCGAGCTGAGCACATCTAAGGCATTTTCATCGCTCTAGCGTGCCTCTATCAAAAGATATTCGCAAAAAAGCTGTTAGTATTCATGACCTGAGATGACCTTAGGGCATAAACGGAGGTCACGGGTGCTATTTGCATGTTAAGTATGTCATAGTTACTTGTAATTCAGTGTTTGGAGTGTTAACCCTCGCCGGCACAGGGAGGGTTGATGCCCCCCCCCCCCAAGGTTTTTCGCGAATAGCTCGCGTAAAAAGCGGCCGATCGCGACGAAACTTTCAGTACCCTCGCATTAAATTTTACACCTACCCTGAAAATTTCATGACCCTGACGCAAATGACCTTTGACCTGTGACCTATTTTCCGAGGCTATGTTTGGCTGGAATCGCGTTTCGGCGTATGGCAGCTCGCATTAGCCGCGCGTTTGCAGTTTTTTTCGTGGTTTCTAACGTTCGAACACTTGATTTGATGTTGTCCCCATGCATTAGGGTGGATGTCAAAGTCATCTGAAATCTGAAGGTCAGGTCAGGTCATTGACCTTTGGTGACCTCGGTTCACTTTTTCGAGTTTTACATGTTTCTTGGCTAGTTTTTGGAGCTGAATTCGAATTTAGCAACCATCTGAACATTTACGAAGTGGTTTTGGTGCCTTCGTAAAATGTTACGAAACTGTCAGAGGCGGTTGGCACCTACTACGAATAACCGTCACGACCCCCTACTGGTTGACCTGACCTGACCTGACCCGACCTGATCTAAATGCTTAAAGACATTGTCTGTGATCAAAACCAACACGATATTCGTGATCAGCACCCCGAAAAAACCCATAGCAGCCACGCTTCACGACTTTCTAATAGGTCCCAATATTCCCGACTTTTGGGACATTGACCTGACCTGGAAGGTCAATCGATGACATAGACCCTTAAAATTGGATATCATCGGCTTCCTCTCGTGACGGGCAACGCCGCAACACGCTCGTTTTTTTCCGCGAAGCTCTAGCTCGATCAGGGGCCAAACGCGAGGGGGTCGTACCCCCCCCCCCTTGTGCCGTCGAAGGACGCAAAATGGCCTGTGCCGGCGAGGGTTAAGAGTGGCTTTCGTTCAAAAGAGGCATCTTTCAATTTTCCCCTATTGACCAAGGTCCCCTATTGAAGAGGAGGTCGCAAAATTAGGTCACCGATATCAAAATTCTGAGATAAACATTTTGTGCATACTGTTGCTGTTAGCTAGCACTGAACTTTGAAAGTGATCGGTCTCTCGGTGTGGCTATGGCCAGGGTAACTTTTAAAGGGGGGGGGGGGAAGGGGAATTTTCCCCCTTCGAAAATTCCGCTCCCCCTTTCAAATTGTGCGTGAACGGCTAGGGAGGGAAGGGGGAATTTCCCCCTTTCAAATTTATTTTTGAGCCCATTTTCAATCAATTCGTTACTCAGCTTCTATAATCATCGTTGATCAGACTCTAGTCATCAGTCAACGTTGCTGGCGCTTAGATAATTTTCAATTTGAGGTTCCATCCAACCATTTTACGTTCAGTGCAGCGGGAACTCCAGATTTGACCCGATACCGATCGGATGGTCGGTGGGACCGTCTCTTGTCTTGTCTCTTCCGTCTCTTCGCAATCACTGACATATCGCTACAGGCGTCGGCGTAGAAACCGGTTGGGGACGGGGGTCATGACCTCTCCGAACCAAGGGTCTTCCTTCGAACCAGGGTCCTTCAATCGGTCTTGGCCCGCGTGTTAACCTCTCTCTATTTAGAAAGGCTCTACTTGATGTTTGGCCAGGGTAATAGGTTGATACTACTGATTGACATTTGCAAGGGCGCAGTCAAGTTGGGACCTCCCCCGCCCCCTACCGCCAAGGAAGGTACCTACGTATATTTTTAGCTAATTTATTTTTTAGCAGCCTAACAATATAAAGTGGCCAGAATCCGGGGAGAGAGTAGGATTTGGGGGTAGGTAAGGTTCTGCAGGCGCCATCCTAACAAAAACCTAATGGCAAATTGGGCCCCCTTTCAGATGCCCCTGGATCCGCCCTTGCCCCGAACTTTATTCCCCCTCTCGACTTTTCCTGTAAAAGTAACCCTGGCTATGGCATACCTTGAACTTTTCATGAGCTGAAGTCATTTGAAGTGACCTGGTGACCTGACCTTGAGTAACCTCGGTCTGAACTTTTGACAGCATGTGCATGAAAAGGTGTGCCAAAAACGGCGGTGCTCCGCGCCGCCCTTTTTGAGATATTCGTGAAAAACTTCAAAGGGGTGTTTACCCCCCCCCCCCAGCAGTGCGTGGGTTAAAGAGATCAGTATGTGCTGTGTAAATTGTAATAAGTATGCATGTCTGTCCAGTCCTCTCATAAGGCGGAGGAAGGGAGTGAGAGCAAATGATGTCAGCTGGCTGTCTGAATGCTGCTTACAATGTGCAACCTTTCAGGTTCCGATCTACCACTTAATATTGGAGGCGGTGCTCATCATCTGGGTGCTTAGTCTGATTCTGAAAAGGACTAAAAAATCCAAGTCCTCGTTATCAGAGAAGGTGAGTTCCAAGTACCTACACTCTAAAAGTTAAGAAGGTATGTTCCACTGCCCGCGGTCAGTCTTTGCCAGCGATAAGTGCAGCCTTGATCCCTCGCTCGTAGTAGAAGTATAATCACCCTTCAAGGCGTTTTTGTTATCCTTTTTTGTTACGGTTGCGACTGCGATGTTGGTTTGAAAACACCGCCAATGATCATGTCCAGTGTCCGTGGAATGCACCCGAGCTCCATCAAGTAAAGCCTGCTATTGGCATTGCATTATAGGAAACACAGTGTCAGGTCACTCACAAGGCCATCATTTTAATAGAATGTGTGGTAGTTAAACGTTACCTACAGCCTGACCCATTATCGAGTCTTGGTTTGGCCTGGCGCTGTCAGACATCCGCCCTTTGGACAATCTGAATAAATGCTATGTGGGTAGTTTTCCCACGATAACCAGAGCCCTAGTGGCAAACCTTAAAAATGAATGTTTGGTCGGCTGCAGATTTCAACCACCGGTGCATGAAAGCTCCGCTTATCGCTGACAAAGTGGATGGCTATGGTCCAGATGATGACAGCCCAGCGTCGTTGAAGCTTTTGTAGATGACTAATAGGCATCAGTTTTTTTTTTAAAGTTTGTCATTGTTCCCTAATATTTAGAGAATGCCGTTTCCGTACATCACATGATGTTTGTATTTCCAGTTCCCACTCATACTAACCCTGAGCTTCATGTCGTCAGGCCAGCCTGTGGGATAGGCTCTCTGAGCATGTGAGTTCATCCACCAATGTCTTACGTCGGCCGGCAGCCACGTCAGACCCTGTCGCGTCCAGTCCATCACGCTTTGTTTTGTCGACCACGTCGATTGTCGATGTTAGGTTATGTCAGTCAGAAGGGCACTCAACTCAGTATTTTTGAGCGACCAGCGTCCATCACCATAATGCCTGCCTTCCACCAGTGTCGCACCTCCGCACATGCCTCAGTGTCTCGCTGCTATGTGTTTTCCGCAGTGTGCCGCACTTCGCTGGCCCTTCTTTGAGTGTCACATTCATCCGTATTCCGTGCTCACGTCCCCGTTTTCGTTGTCCACGTTTTCACTCGTATTACAGCAGGAAACTGCTGACAACCTGCTTATACAGCTGCACTGCTTCTTTCTCATCTTCTTGGGATGAATCTCAACTGAAATGTCTGTCATTCCTGCGTTTTACACGCACCCCCAAAGCTTATTCGTCAGTTGGTTCGTCTAATGCTTGTAAACCTTATTGCCAAAACACTCGCGTTCGTTAATGTGAGCTATTTTGTCCACGCCGGTAACTGGAGTCCTTTCATTGTGTCATTGTGCTGCACTTTTTATGTGGAACTACGGTTTCTGCGAGTCGGCTTCTTTGCCGTTTGGCCATGCATCTGTACCGGGTGGCCCAGAAAAAACGTTCCCAACTTCAAATCAATATTTCTCAAAAAGTGATAAAGATACAACATTGAAACTTCGAATAGTCAATGCGGCACACATTTTTAGTAAATGGTGTGATTTTCATGGTGTTCGGTAAATAACTTTTTAACCGGTTCGTGTTTCAAGCATGCCATGTAAAAATTACTTTTTTGCTCCGATGTTTACTAAAAAATGTAGGTGAACAGGTCACTTTCACCCCGCGGCACCGCGGCCTAGAGCCATGACTTCTACTGGCAGCTAGTCTCATTGATGGTTCGGGTCTCAGGATGACACATTCCCTCAGGCAACCATGATGGCTTTGTGCCAGCGGCATCGGAAGAAGTTTCCAGTTTTCTAACAATCTTGTGGCTCAAATGCTTTCCTGGCTTACATTCCTGGGAAAAGGTAGCTTTTCAACCAGTTTTTTTTTTGTCATCTGCTGGCAATGTTGTTTTTCATAAGCTATAAATCATAATTCTGTGGTCTTCTGGCACGGGAACGAGTCTGCTTTAGTTTGTTTTCCTTATTCGGTCGATTTACTGTTTGATCTACTGAAAGGAGGGTTTTCAGCAGTAATCCATGCACCGTGCCACTCCTGCTCGAAACATGACTTGGTGTTGAAACGAATGGCATCCATGAGCACCATTTTGGCTCAGTATTTGAATATTTGGCACATAAGTGAGACAAAAATATTTAAAATAAGAACATACGTGTTGGTTTCATTCACGTGCTCTATTTTTCATTCTTTTTTATAACATGGGACGTCTAACCCAATCATCCTTATCGTTTGACATCGGCAAAAAAAGCAAAAACGTCTTGCTTAATTCAACTCAAGATTGCCAGCTTGAAAATGATGGTATAGTGTTGTAATTTGGCATACCAATGCGCATAGAAATGACGCAAACTTGATGAAAATTTTGGCTCGTTATTTGAACTCGAATTTGATATACAGGCCTCCAAAGTTCGGAACGTTTTTTCTGGGCCACCCGGTATATTTATTATTTTGATCCGCAAAGCTGAGTGTCATAATAAATTTCGAGCTATTGTGTGCATTTCACTTAAAACATAAGATTTAACTGTGCGTGCTTCGCCGTCTAACCCTGTGTCGGTTGTTTGTTCAGGAGAAGGAAGAGCTCATTCAGGAGTGGACTCCTGAGCCCCTGGTGCCTGATGACGCTGACCTGAACCCCATCAAATATGACGTCATTCAAGGAAAGGTGAGCGGCCGATGTGATACCAATGCGTCGTGTTTGGAAGAGATGCCGGGGGATACAATAATGCAACTTTCATGCTCTCTATCGCCGCTCGAGTTCAAGCGCGTTCCCACTTTGTACTTGCGTGGCCTGTTTTCACATTCTCGATGCAATGTTTCGATTACCGCTTGATCTCGCTCTGGTGTTCACACCACCAGTACCATCTGCCACATCAGGTCGATCTGACTCACTCCGCTTGCCCCTCTCCTCAGGTGGGGAAGCACGTGACTATTGGCGGCCGCCAGTACCTGAACGCTGCCACGCACAACTTCCTGGGAATGGTCGGCGACGACCGGGTGGAGGAGGCGGCCGTTCGTTGTCTGCGCAAGTACGGCGTCGGCTCGTGCGGGCCGCGCGCCTTCTACGGAACCATCGGTCAGTGGCGCGGCGGACAGGGGAGGGGGGGGGGGGGGGACATAGTATCGGGACAGAGGGAGAGGGAAGCGAATCGGTGGAAGGAGGCCTCTTTTAGTGATTCGATAGTACTTCTCAGTGATCCGGAGGTAGTTGTATTTTTTCTGATCTGGTATGTTTTCCTCTTCCTTGAGATGGCTGGATTTAGTGTCTGACTGTTCGGCTTTTCTGTTAGGACGGGCATCACATGAATGTCTTGTGCTAACGGCCTTTGTCACCGCTATATACTTTCTGGTGCCTCGTGATTGTGTCATGGTTTATGATAGCGGGCCTTGCGCCCCCCCCCCCACCCCTCCCTCCCTCTGTGCATCCCCTGCCCTCCTCGTCTCACCGCTCTCTGTCCCCAGACGTGCACCTGGACCTGGAGAAGCGCGTCACCCAGTTCCTGGGCACCGAGGAGGCGGTGCTGTACTCGCTGGGATTCTCCACTGTGGCCAGCGCCATACCCGCCTACGCCAAACGCTCGGACGTCATCTTCGCGTGAGTCGTCATGGTCGGCCGTCTGCGCCAGTGGAGAGAAGGGATTGTTTGCTTTATTCAGAGTTGCTAACAAGTTCAAGGCTGACAGCGTCATGTCCTAACTAGACGGTTAATGAGACCTCCACCGTCCTTTCCACCGAATTTTCATGTGGGGGTCAGAAAGTGGAATGAGAGGAGCTCGACGTTTTTCGGTCCGTGTTCAGTGATTACGGAGCGAGCGAAGCGAGCGGAGTCTTTCCTTAGATTAACGGAAATTTCTGAGTATGAGCGGCCGGCCGGCCGGCCGGCCGTGCGGACGCTTTTGCGAGGCTTATATCTCAGCAACCACTTGACCGATTTACATGCGGTAATTTTTGTAGGGTAGCTTCATTCCTTCTACCAAGTATTGGACTACTCCCGATGCATGTGGGTGACCCCTTATGCACGTGCCACGTGCAAAACGAAGAGGTGTCAGTTTTGTAATTGTTGCAATATCTCGGTAACTACTTGGCCGATCGCGCTGAAAGTTGGCATGTAGGTAGGCACCCACTAGGCACTGGATATCCATGTGCCAGAGTTGGGGTGCTGCTGCACGTGCGCACGTGCAGGGGTCGTTTCCAGATCTCGAGAACGGCTCGACCGATTGCGCTCAAATTTGGTACACAGTTAGGGACCGGTTAGCAGGGTGCCGTGCACAAGTCAGTTGGGACCCATTTTGCACGTGCGCACGTGCAGGGTGCCGCTTCCAGATCTCGAGAACGGCTGGGCCGATTGTGCCCAAATTTGGCACATCGCTAGAGACCGGTTAGTAGGGTGCCGTGCACAAGTCAGTTGGAGGTACCCCCTCGAAATTTCGCACGTGCAAGGCCCACCCTCTCGCTCGCTCCGTTAGTCGCCCCATAAGGCGTTATACTGGTGGTATGCTGTGTTTCCGGCTTCTTGATAATTGGGTCGGGTGATAACGATAAGGCGTTTTCGCGGTCTTGTTGATCGTGCTTATTGTCGTCTGTTGCTTACTTTTCGGTAAATTAGTGATTTATACCTGCATACTGCTTTGAGCGTTCACAGTCTGACCATTCTGCCCACCACGTTCCAGAGACGAGGCGGTGTGTTTCGCCATCCAGAAGGGTCTGCAGGCGTCCCGCAGTGAGATACGCTACTTCCGCCACAACGACACCGCCCACCTGGAGCAGCTGATCGAGGAGCACAACAAGGCCAGCAAAAAGGTAAGGTACTGCTCTTCCCCTTACCCCCCCCCCCACCCGAATCCCCACCCCCCACCCCCACCCCCATCCAGTGCTAGTCCCCCCGTCACCTGGAGCATCTGATCGAGGAGCACAACAAGGCCAGCAAAAAGGTAGGATATCTCTCCAGTCTCCACCCTTCCTTGGGATAGATCACCTGGAGCAGCTGATCGAGGAGCGCAACGAGGCCAGCAAAAGGGTGAGCTAGCTCTCCACCCCTAGTTACACCCACTAATGGTTCCTCCTGGCACCTGGAGCAGGTGATGTAGAGGAACAGGAGGCCAGCAAGAAAGTAAGCTTCATCCCTTATCCCCAGTAATGGTCCCTGCACTCAGCTGGAGCAGCTGATGTAGAGGAGCATAATCTGTCAGCAGAGAGGACCGCAAGATAGGTACCTCTCCCTTTCTCGGTAATGGGCTATTCGGGCAGCTTCTGACAGAGAGCACAGTCAGGTGAACGGAAAGCTTAGTAGCTGTTTTCTGACAGTGGGGTTCTGTAGACAGACGTGCCATCCGTTCATGATCTCCTTTGCGATCGAATTTTGAAGCATATTTCAGACAGCCTGTCCAGACTCCAGGGCTACCTTTGAATCCGTCATAAATGCTAATCTCCAGACTGAAGGTCATGTCCCTCACGCGCTGACGTCTTCCCCTTCGTGCAGCTGAAGCCGAAGCAGGCGGCGCTGGTGCGTCGCTTCCTGGTGGTGGAGGGTATATACGCCAACACAGGCGCCGTGTGCCCCCTGCCCGAGCTGCTGCGACTCAAGGAGGCCCACAAGCTGCGCTTGTTCGTGGACGAGTCGCTGTCGTTCGGAGTGCTGGGAGATACCGGACGCGGGCTCACCGAACACTTTGGAGTCACGGTGGGTGGCACGATGGCTGTAGAGTGCGGTGGATGGGGTCACCCTATCTGTAACTGACGAATGGGGACACAGTCAGAGTTTTAATCTTCCCTGCTACTGAAGGGGATAATAAGGATGCTGAGGTGACTTTCCCGTTGCAGAACCATGTAATTTATTTATGAATCGTAAAATACGCGACCCCATACTTCATTGATGAATGATGCTCTATCTCCCTGTGGTCGGCCTGAAACGTGCCGTCGCGCATCGTGTCCTCTGCTCACCGTTGACCGTGTACCAACATCGGCAGGCTCGCGACGTGGACCTGATCTGTGTCAGCATGGAGGCGTCGCTGGGCTCGGTGGGTGGATTTACCACCGGCTCCTTCTACGTGGCCGACCACCAGCGGCTCAGCGGACAGGGTATATAGAGGGGGTGTACTTTAACACCGGTTTATTTGAATCTTCATCATATACCGCCGCCAATATAGCTTTCCTATCCAGTGAGCCCGTCTCAATCTGTAGTTATCCCGCCCCGTCAGCCTGTCTGTGTAATGTGTGCCGTCCAAGTACGCTCTCCTCCCTGGCTAACCCTGCTCCTTGCGGCGCGCAGGTTACGTGTTCTCAGCCGCCCTGGCGCCGCTGTGCGCTGCCGCTGCCATGTGTGTCATCGACCAGCTGGACGAACAGCCCGAGATGACGGCCAAGCTGCGCAGCGTCTGCCGGGCCATGCACAAGGCGCTGGCAAACATCGACGGGTATGGGCACGCTGCGGGAGGAAAAATGAGAGGGGGTCACACTTCACAGGCTTAATCCGCTGGGCTTGTGTGTTAACTGGTAACGGTTTAAATTGTCGCATTATTTTGTCGTTTATTGATGTGATGATCACCTTGTTTTGACAGATTAACTTAATCGTCCTATCAATCGTGTGTCGTCTTTAACAATGGTATTTGATTTCTTCTCTGGCACACCTACTCTGTTTTGTGCTGCAACTTAGAGCTGTAGTTGAGTTCCATTGGTCTTCATACTCTTGTACAGAGCTCTAACTGTGCGCATTGTCGGTTGACCCGTGTCTACCCGGCAGTCTGGAGCTGTGCGGTGACGAGGTCTCGCCGGTCAAGTTCTTGCAGCTGTCCAAGCCGCGGCTGGAGCGGCAGCAGTCCGAGGCCGTCCTTCAGCACATCGTGGACCAGGTGAGACTAAATACTGCGGGTGCCGGCCGTGGCACATACTGGCTCTTACTGGTTCCAGCCGGTTAATGCTGGATCGAGCTCCACTGTGTGACTTTTTGGTGGCACGGACAGCTGAACGATTTTAAAAATAAACCGACCCCATATCAGTGGCACAACTTAGTTGCCAACTTGCTTGTGTGACGGCTAACGCTCTGACGTTCATCACTACTCGTCGGTCGTGCTTTCCTGCCCCGTTCCGTGCCCGGCATCTGATGCATGCTCTGTGATAAGCAGCGTCTGTAGCGGGTCCCCCTGTCGCTGAGGGGCCAGCTCGCCGATTGTGGCGCTATCCAGCCATCGAACTGGGCCGGATGGTACAAAAACGGTGCCGGCAGACTCGGTGTGAGGTGGGCGGCACGGCGGACCGGTGTCGTGATTCCGCGCCCAGAGGAATAGAATCTGTGGTTGTACCGACTATGGCACACGAATGAAGATCTGCTGTGATTCGTTTTGTGGGGTTTCCAGGCTACGTTTACTACATATTTTGAGTAGCAATAGACAAATTTATATATTGAGACGGGTTACACAACACATTCGGGTGAGCGCGTTTCGTTGTAAAGACTTTATCAACACCCTTTCGGAAAAAGAAGCAATACAGACACACAAGAATAATGGCACACATTATTCTTGTGTGTCTGTATTGTTTCTATTTCCGAAAGGGTGTTGATAAAGTCTTTACGACGAAATGCGTTCACCCGAATGTGTTGTGTAACCCGTCTCAATATACGCTACATGTTTTAGCTGTTTACATCAACTAAGTTCCACGAAGGGGTATTGCCCGCCTACAGCGTCAGCAGCAATTATTACAAAGCCGCACGGTATGCGTCAACTCAACCCTCGGACTCCCCGGTCACCACGGACTACGATAGTGGTTATATAGGTACTCCACCGTGAGGTTAACCCCTTGGCTTTTATCGCTTTCCCCTCCAACCCACGCAGCCTACATTGCTGCGGTGTTATGGCCCGACTGTTTTGGCGTCAATACGCTGCCCGGGAGTCTGAGCGTCGTTTGGACACATCACATCACAGCCCGGAAGTCGGGGAGTTCCTAGCTCAGTCCCGGTGCCAGATATCAACCGGTGATGATTGTATCCTGCCCCACTCCCTGTGGATGGGTGGACGGAAGGATGTGGTACTCAGTCTGTAGGGCAAAGGGGATCCGTAAGAAGTGTTTTCTGATTGTCCAGAACTCATAACGGCCGGTGAATGGTCTTCTCATAAGTCTCAACTTACGAACGGCAGTACAACAATGACCGGCACTGCAATCTGGTATTCTTATTTGCACACCTGTTAGATAAACAGGTTCAGTATAGTCGGTAAAACTCGGAATATGGCGCAGATCATCAGAGCACTAAATCATAGAAATCATCTCGCCCACGCCACACTGTTAGGACTTTTGTATATTTTGCACTTTGAAATCATCTTCAGTCACATTCATTTTGCTGCATTCCCCCGCTGCGTGCCGTTTTCATGTCTCATGTCCCCGGTCCATCTGGTGACCTCTCTGTGGCGCCGACCGGTCGCGGTCCTGTCCGTGGGTGGTCTGTGCGCGTCTGTCAGCCACCCTCCTCCACTGTCTGTCCGCCGCGCGGCCGGCGTATCCCACCACCGCGCCGGACAGCCTCACACTCCGGTCACACGCATCCCTGTCTATGAGCGGCGAACACGACTGCGGCGTGTGACATTGGCGCAGTTTTTGGCGTGCTCTCTGTCCTTCGGAGTGCGCGTCAGCGTTCAGTGTCGCGCTCATGACGTGACGTTAAGACGCAGCCGTGTGGCGATCGATGGAAAGTTCCCAGGAGTGCCGTGACTGGCTCGAGACTATCGGGCAATCGTGGGATTTCGGTGCTGGCGGGCATTCATTTTATTCGGCGCAGTTAATTTTCAAAAGTGTGGTCTGATAGTAAGATGTATCTAGTGAATGACGGCTTGTGGACTGTGGTGGTTTAGTTGTGTTAGAATATTGCATGGCAACTCTCACTCCGGTCTTATTTTGCTTGTGGTGGATCAGTTGTGTTAGAATATTGCATCGTAGCTCTCACTCCGGTTTTAAAAAAGATTGTTTTCATAATACTGCTGTATTTCTATTTTTGTGCCACACCCAGACACGGTCGGACCTGCATCTGGTGACGATCCGATTAGTCTCGTCTCTCCATCTCCTGATGCATATGTTAATTTCCCGGCGCTGCACAGTCGGATCGGACGGCAACATTTAGGCAAATATGTCCACTTCCGCGTCGTTATTATCCCCCGTGAAGGTCTCGGCTTTGGCTTGTATCCGCGCTGATCCCTGTGTTGATCTGTGCTGGCCCGCCCTCGGCTCAGGGCTGATTTGAGGACTCAGCGGCAGACTCGGCGCTGATCTGAGGACTAAGCGGCAGACTCAGCGCTGATCTTGGGCTGAGCCGAGTAGGATCTCCTGTTGACTGTCACATGGCGTCAGTTTCTGGACCGGGTCGGCTGAGGGACGCCCTTGTCACTGTGGTCTGAAGAAGTGGGACAGACGGATGGAATGGCCGTTTTCTATGTCCTTTTACTGTATTAAATTTTGTCCTATAGCTCCTGACGGCCTGGACAATCATAGGGATGGTATATATCGTGTGATTGAATATTAGATGCCGATGTCGCACTGGCTCTGTCCGGTGTGACTTAATGTAAACTTATGCTCCTTTGCCGAGGGCCGGTAAGGTCCTGACGCCGGCTCAGTCTGACTGCATAGTATAATTTTACTGTATCACTGTATGTTCCAGTGTCGTGAGGCCGGTATTGCCCTGACTGTGTGATTCGGGAGGTCGGCATCGTCCTGATGTGTGACTGTGTGTTTCCATGTGTTCCAGTGTCGTGAGGCCGGTATCGCCCTGACGCGGGCCTAGTGTGACTTTGTGTTTCCATGTGTTCCAGTGCCGTGAGGCCGGTATCGCCCGGACTGCCCCGTGTGACCGTACCCATGTGTTTTGTTCCAGTGCCGGGAGGCCGGTATCGCGCTGACGCGGGCCCACTACCTGGAGCCGGAGGAGCACCGCCTGCCTCCGCCGGCCATCCGCGTCACCTGCAATAGACTGATGGAGCCAGAGGACATCCGCAGCATCGAGACAGCGCTGTCCAGGGCGGCCGGAGCCGTCCTTGGATAGATGGTCTGAACCTGTCCGGTCTGACCCGACCCGGTCAGACACCTGGCCCAGTTCGGCCTGACCTCAGCCAGTCCTGCTTGACCTCACTCGGCCTGGTCTGACCAGCTCACCTGGTCGTGACGTCCAGTCAATGAATAACGAGCGATCGAGAGACGTGAGCACAAGAGCGATGCTGTGACACTAAAGGCATCAGACATTGGGTATGGGAACATGGGGACTAAACTGGGAGTCATGGGACGGTGCGGCTGCGGTAACTGCTGTATGGGAGAGAAGAACTGTTAGTCGATGGGTTCGTTAGTGCTTTGAGATTAGCCTGGGATACTCCCAAAACACCGTCCGTTGGGACTGTATGGCGGTTCAGCTGATGGGTTGACGGATATTGAAGGTATAGAAGAAGGAAGGGTAGAGAAGGGTGTACTTACCACATACCAACCTGCGTTCTGGGACTAACAGGGATGTCGGTTAATAGGTGGATTGTAGCGATGTGTGGTGATTATAATGACCAGAGCTGGGCAAGTGCGTTCCTTTAGTGCGTTCCTGCGTTCTTCCGTACGTACGCACCACCCTTTTTAGGAACGCAAGAACGCAGGAACGCAAAGTTTTTCAAAGGAACGCAAGTAAGAGGAACGCACCACCCGAAATTTTGAAGCGTTCCTGCGTTCTTGCGGAACCACCCGAAAAATTATATTGCTGCCAATGACCTCTGTGTCAAATGTTTGAATCTCGAGTACGTGTGTTTGCCGGTAGAGGCGCCACTTGTTAGTCGAATCGAGGAAGGCTTGCTTAGATTTAGTGGTGATGTTTACTATTCGATTCGGTTTCAGGCATTAAAGATTTTTAGTGGTGATGTTTACTATTCGATTCAGTTTCAGGCATTAAATGTGTAGAGTAAATATGATAACTTTTACTAAGATACATCTTTTAACTAAACTATTGTTTTTAAGCAGGTCGTATTTTTGTTGAAAACCCTACGGATGATATTGGTAAAACGTATTTCAGATATTCGATTCGGAAAAGAGATGTCGAGTTGCTTTTCGGCCCCACGTCGCCATTCTGGGTATTCTGTGATCGATTCGCCCCGTGTTTGGTTGGGCCCGCGCCGCGTGGTTCGGCGGTATTTTTTAGGGAGGAACGCAGGAACGCAGGAACGCTAACGCACCGAACGAAAAAAAATTGAGGAACGCTATTCCAGGAACGCACTAACCGCGGCCGGAGGAACGCAGGAACGCTAACGCACTACCGAAAATCGAGGAACGCGCCCAGCTCTGATAATGACACTGCCAACTGCACCGATTGTGAATGTGATGTGTCCTTCGCATCCAGCAGTCCTGGAAAACAGGTGGTGCCTGTTACTTCGCTAGGTGCCATTGCAGCCATGTAACAACCTCTGGGTGCCAGCTGGCTGACGGGACCGAAGTGTCCCTACGTCCGCGTGCCTCGGGTGTTATGTCTCTGTGGGTGGGGTTACCGGTCGGGAAATCGAAAACGCATCATATATGTCGGGTTTTCGAGTGATTTACTACACGCACGCACACTGCACACGGCTGAGCGTTGTTTGCTGGAGGTGTTCAGTTGTGTCGCCACAAGACGATGGCGTCAGGGTGCCTTTGCGAGTTCATAATACCGCGCACATACATTTGAACGGTGGTGTCGGAGGGTTTATACACTCGTTTAGCGGCCAGTGTGCTTTTTCACAATGGTCACGCCGCAGCCTTTTTCGAAGCACAGCCTTGATTTTCTGCGATGTGCCGTGCCTTATTGCTTGTTATGGAACCTTACGAATCAAGTGTGGTAACTTTTGCACGAGCTTGTTACGCTTCCATGTATCGCATTCGTCATGTTTTGCAGGTTTTCTTACATTTGTTTTGTATTCCGTTCTGCATATGACATATCTTTTGTTACCAATAACGTTTTGATGAACGCTTGGTATGTTCATCATGTTCATCTACTCGTATGTTTGGTCTCAAACTAGGCATTTGATTCGATGTTACTGCTTCCGCTATTACTGTTGTGTATGCATAGGTATAGGTACATATGTGTGCCTGACTTGAAATATTTCAGATTTGCTTAGGTTGATTCTGCAATTATGTTACTAGAATATAAATGGCACGACCGTCGTGGAATATCGTATTTATCGTCGTCACATTGTGTATATCGTTGGGACGTGACAGTTACTTTCGTTTGCACGAGAATGGCCCTCAAAGTGCCGGAAGCCTGCTCTGAAAGTGCGAATCCCGTTTAGTATTGCATACTGTTTATTGAACTGTAATTTGGCCCAACTTAATTTCTTGACTTGATATTTGGTGTTGTGTAATGTGTAATAGATTATGTAGGTATAATTTGCATGACGCGATCCATGGTCCAGGAATAATGCAACCGGAAACCCAGACCGCCCAGGCCAACAATGCGTCATCGGTATGAGACCGATATTGGTTATACCGGTTATACTCTGGTTCACCCGGTTCACTGGTGACGCAATTTACCATACGTTATGACGCAACAACCTGTTGCGATAGAAATTTGCTATATTGTCAATGGTCTGCGATTTTCTGCGAAAATTTTGCTGACTGACTCTAAGATTTTCCTCAGATCCTGAGAAGATAGGGACGAATATCTGATCTACGTGATGGAAAAAGAGAAACCATTGAAAGTTGAAAAATGAAACACCTAGGTTTTCTATATTATAAGCGCACATTGTTGTTTTAAGATACGGTTTTAAGCAACGCAGAAAGCCTCGGACAACGTACAACGTGTGGGGAAGCTGACCAGCAAAATTTGTATAGTATTGCGTCTTAGGCAATTCAATCTCCTTGGGAGAAACTTGGCTCAGGCAGGACTTCCATCTTGGTATTTTCGTTTATGCCTTCAAGTGAATGTTTCATACCTAAAAGCTTAAAATTGATAGAAAGTTACTTCTATGAAAAGAAAATGGCAATGAAGTAGGGCCGGGGTTCATCCATAGTCATTTCATCGTCGTGACTCGTGACAATTCTCAAGAATTAGGGTAATTTTTGTAAAAGTCGCTAGATGTTCTGAATATGGCAGCAGTTGGCAGCAAAAGATGAACCTTGACGTAAAGCGTCAGCAGTGCTGCCAGATTTGGAGGATTTCCGCAAATCTGGAGGATTTTGAACTCTATTTGCGGACAAATTTCGCTTTTGGAGGATTTTTGATTCTGGAGGAAAATCTGGAGGATTTGTCGCCCGATTATTATATTCAATTTCATGGAAAAATATAACACATTCAAGACTAAAAAGGCATTTTCCTGCCCAGCGTCACCCTACCCGTTAGGATATATCACGTCCTTTATCACCGTGAGACTGCAGAATGTCTCAGTCTGTAGCTATATTTACGAGGGTACCAAACTACTGGCGGATCTAAGGGGGACATTTGGGGCAAATGCCCCCGGCCCCCCTGCAGCGCCTGAAATCGACGAAAATTTTCGTTTTTTTAAGATAAAACGAAAACTCAACAACTTTTATAAGAAAAGTATCTTTTAAACTGCACAGCAGTGCGAAAAGATTCGAAATCCGATGGGTTTTTAGTATTTGGTGAAACTTTTTTGGGGGTATAGCCCCCCGCAGCGTCCAAGACCGCCTTTCTATATCTACCAATAGGATTTGGAGGAATCTGGAGGATTTTTGTAACTGATATAGAGGATTACAGCCTTCCCCATCTGGCAGCACTGAGCGTCAGTTTCGTGAGAGAGGTGCTGGGTGTTGGGTGCGTCAGGGTTCTGCGCTTTTTTGCGCTTATTTTGTTGAAATAAGTTTCCTGTCAAGCGTTACTGTGTCGTGGACAACTACAGACTTACTTCGGTCGCTAGGGGCTTCATTGAATATCCACACAGCCCCAAAAATGGAGGTGGACAACGTCCAAGCCCTTAAAAATGAACCGTTGCCCCATGATGAACCAGAGGGTATCACAAAGATCGATTTGGAGGGCACACTTAAGGTGAGTTTTTTTCAGAATTTGATATCTATCCAGTTTTTATGCCTTCTCTTACTACACACTAATATTGATATTTTTGTTTTCAGCTGTTTTCAGCTCGGCCAAAGCAATTAACCTAGCTCCTTGACAGTGATGTGTGAATTGTGAACACCTACCATTTTTTGTGTTTGTTACCAAGCTTTGATTGTACCTTTCGTATAACAGCATCATAATGAGCTGTTCATGGCTAACGGGAGCCAAGGTGAAAAAGCATTTGTAATTTGTAACGAGACCTAGGGCTGAGGGCACAAGCCGTATAAAAAAATTATTTAGATCTTTTGAAGCTAACCTAGCTAATTTTGGTAGTAAAAAGGCAGACATCAGTCACACAAGCTTAGCCAGGTGAAGTTTAGTGCCTGCAATGGTACAGCCCGCAGCAGTATTCCTCGTTTTTCATTTCTCTCTTGTCTGTTTTTTTTTTTTTGCTTGGCTGTGTCAAGGCAGTATGGCTGTGTAATGTGTATTGTATCCAAGGCCCAGTGGTTAGCCCAGCTCATTTTGTATGGGCTGTGATTGCTGAACATTATTTTTATTCTTAGGATGAGGGCTGCAGTTCTGTCAGATTGTGTGTAAATAAAGGGACAGGGTAGGTATGCACTGTAACGTGTGCTGGGTCCCATTTGAAAGTGACTATGTAGGCAGTAGACACTATGCACTTCCTATGTAGGCTAGGTTAAAATGAATATATTGCTGGGCACTGGGGAGCAGCTGTTTTTCTAGTTGAAGTGTGGTTACTTCCTTTCCCAGCAATAAGTGTCCTATAAAAATGGTTTTGCTCTACAGGGTGGGGCAGAAAGATTTACCTGTTTGTTTTCAGCCCATAACTCAAAAATTTATGGACGGATTTTAGTGAAATTTTGCATGCGGCTTCCCAACTGACTCGTGTATAACTGTTACGATCGTTTTTAATTTTATCATGGTTGTTGATGAGCTATGGCGGAGATTACAAAAAGAGCCCAAATTGCGGTGCCGATGCAGGCTGGCCACAGCGTCCGAAGCGTTCCCAAACAGCTCGGTGTTGCCATAAAAACTGCTAACAAAATAATGAAATGCCTGGAGGAGACAGGTACAGTGTCGATGAAGTCCATGGCAGGCAGAACAAGGCATGTCCGCACCAAAAAGCTGGTTGATATCGTGCACAAGATGGTGTTTCGAAATCCTAGGCGAAGCATACGCAAACTGGCAAGGGACCTTGATTTTACGCCCAAAATGGTCAGGAGATTCATAAACGACGATTTGGGCATTAAGTAATACAAGATGCAAGGTCGACACCTGATTTCGGCGGCATCCAAGGAAAAGCGGCTACACAGGGCCCAAAAGATATTTGAGGAAATCAGAAGCGCCGGTAACAAGGTCTTCCTCTGACCCAATGAAGAGATTCCCACGGTTGAGCCCCAGATGAACTCCCAAAGCGACATAATCTTGGCAGATGGTACATCCAGTATTAATCCTGCTATCCGGACCAGTTTTGGTCGCCACGACCCTGCTGGTTGAAACATTATTGGGCCTTGCATTATTGTCTATTGTTTGTCCTGCCGGCATTTTGTGTGTATGCGCACGTGTTCTTGCTGGTGCTTGAGAGATCTACATCTGCACGGGTGATCTGCACGGAGATCTGCACGTCTGTGTCTGCTGCACATATCGTCTGCTTGATCTGCATGCGACTACCTTCATGGATTGCTGTCGTCCCTACATGCTCTCGACACCTTGTTGCTAGTACAGAAGCTCCACAGTCTCCTCTCTGGTCTTTCCTCACCCCTTACTGGCTGCCTGCCCTTCAGCACTACTCGCCCCTGCAAGTGCTTGATTGCTGGTGGAGCTAGCTTTAGCTTGCCTTGCTGTGTGTATGTGCTTTATGTGTCTCCTTTACTGTTAAAATGCCCCCACGGAAACGAGGTGTGGGTGTGCGGAATGCTGCCTCCGGTACTTCAAAGCGCAGCACGGGGGGGCCCTCAGCTGGTGCCTCAGCTGGATCAGGTGATGCACCTGCTAATCAGGATGGGAAGCAACAGTGTGGTTCATGTTCCATGGAGGTGCTGGATGGATGCATAGGATGTGATCACTGTGAGGCATGGGTGCATGGTACAGAAATGTGTGCAGGTTTGCCAGTCAAGGTGATTGATGCCATTCTCGAGCATGATGGCCAGGGTATCAGTTATTTTTGCCTGAAGTGCCGTATTACACGAGCCGCTGAAATGGGTAAATCCTCATCCCAGCGCCAGGATGATCTTTTGTCTGGAACCCTTGCTCAGATCTTCCAACAGATGCAGGGCCTATGCTCTGCCGTTGCTGAACTGACAGCACAAGTCAAAGCCCTATCTTCAGCTCCTCGTCCAACTGCCCCGACCTCTGTGACAACATCAACTGACACACGCTCCAGTACCACACAGAACACGTATGCTGCCGCACTGACTGGACATTCTGGCACTACCACTTCAAGCCCACAATCCACAGAATACAGACAAATAGTGAGACAGGAACTGCGGGAGTTGCATGAACGAGAGAAACGTAAGGATTCTGTGGTCATCCATGGCCTCAAATCTACCTCTACCAGGGCTGTAAACACTGAGTTCGGAGAAATGACCCGTAGGATGATGGGGAAACAGGTGGAACTCACTGACATTGTACCCATCCCAGGACATGCAGGATTGTATCGTGGGAAGATCATTGATGAAAGTGATAGAAAACTTGTGCTTGACAAAGCAAAGACTCTAAAGGGGACAGAATATGACAGAGTGTATATCAGAAGGGACCTAACTTATAACCAGTCGAGATGTGCCCTTAAACTTCGCAGAGATGCCTACCACTCTGAGCGGAACCAGCAGGCTCCAGCAGTGGCCCCCAGTGATCGCCCTGCTCCTTCACAGGAGCCTGGTGCTGCGGGACCCGAGCATCCTGCTCCTCGGCAGGGCCCTGGTGTGTCAGGACCCTCCTTGCATAGCGCACAGGCTGGCGCTGCTGGTGACCCTCCCCCGGCTGATCTACCTCCAGACAGGACGGGGGAGAACGTGAGGGGTGAGAGCTCCTCTGCCTCTGTCCCCAGGGAGATAGCTGCGGCTGCTGCACCAACCGTTCCCACTTCAGGTCTGACTGGACCTAACCCAGAACTCTCCCAGTCAAACTAGGTAGATGTTCTCCCAGTCTTGGTGTTGATGTTCTCACAATGTGCCTGACAAATTTGAATGGTCTCACATGTGCCAAACGTGGTAACCTTGCTGAGTTCATTTCTAAAAGAAATGTGAAGATTGTGGCTGTGACTGAAACCCATCTCATTCCTTGTATCAACAGCGCCTCGATTGCCATCCCACAGTATGATATCCTTAGAAATGATGTGACTGGTACCACACAAAAACATGGTGTCTGTGTGTATGTGCATCATGATATTAATGTGGATAGTGTCTCGTGCCCAATGACAAATGTTCTGGTATTTCGTTTGACAAAGTACAATGTTTATGTAATTGTGGTCTATAGGCCTCCTTCCTACACTCAAGTTCAGAATGAGGAGCTCCTTTCCTTGCTTGATGACACTGTTAGAGACAGGGAGGCTATTGTCATAGGAGATTTTAATCTGCCAGGAATAACCTGGAACTCACATGTCTATGGTCTATCCAACCAGGGCTCTCCCATGGAGAGACAGTTTGTTGACGCTTTTAATCTTCTTGGTCTAACCCAGTGGGTAACTGATGTCACTTTTCCCAGATCTGGAAATACACTGGACCTGCTTCTCTCAACTGAACCTGATCGTGTTGGTGACACACATGTTGAACCTCCGTTTCCTGGCTCTGATCACTGTTCAATCGTTTTTGATTACGTCTTTGAAGTACAAAATGTGTTAGATGATAAGGTCTCAAGCAGAATGTTGTGGCACAAAGGTAACTATGCTAAACTAAGTCACTTTCTGAGTCTGGTGGATTGGGATTATGAGCTTGCTTACTTAAACAGCTGCCAGTCATTCAACAGGTTTATCTCAATTGTTAATGACTTGGTAAAAGACTGTGTTCCATGCAAACCGCCGGCCCCTGGCAAAACCAGCCCGCCGTGGCAGGTACGCCCTCCCGCTGATCTTGTCTCTCGGCGACAGGAAGCCTGGACGAACTATAAAGCTGTTCGCCGTCGTCTTGGCAGGCGTTCAGCGGCTGCAACTGAGGCCTACATGTCCTTCTCAGGTGCTAATCGACGCTGCCTTACTTTTTCAGCACGATCTCAGTCCAACTACGAGGACAGCTTGGTGGATGACTGGAGAGAAGCCCCCAAACTATTACATGCATATGTTCGATCTAAGAAATCAGCACCTGTTACTGTCGGACCCCTTAGGTCTGATGACGGCCAAATGTGTACTGATCCCCTGCAGATGGCAGAATGCTTGGCGGGAGCTTTCAGCTCGGTGTACTGTTCTAACATTCCTCAGGACCAAGAAACACACCAAACCAGTGATAACTTGATACCTCCCTTAACCATTTCTCAGGATGACGTCAAGGCACTGTTGATCAGTATTGATGGTAGCTCTGCGATGGGCCCGGACGAACTACATCCCTTAGTACTTAAACAATGTGCCAATTTCATTGCTTATCCCATATATGTCATTTTCTCACGCTCGCTGAGGGAAGGTATTGTGCCTGGAGCATGGAAGAACTCGTGTGTTATTCCAATTTACAAGAAAGGGAACAGATACGACCCGCTGAACTATCGCCCAATCAGCCTTACCTCTGTGTGCTGTAAGACAATGGAAAGACTGATTTGCAGGCATATTACAGGATTCCTAGAGGAGCACAATATATTATCTGACCACCAGTTTGGTTTCAGATCAGGTCGTTCCACTACAGACCAGCTTCTATTAGTCTATGAAGAAGTGTCTAGATGTGTCGACAATGACAGACTCGTTGACGTCGTGCTATTTGACTTCTCCAAGGCCTTTGATGTTGTCCGTCATGAGATCCTGCTGACGAAGCTCCGCAGTGTTGGTA